TTAGCAAGCTCAGTGGTTAAGGATTTGAATAGAGCTCTTTATAGTCCAATCCTGAGGACACTTCCCTGGGAGTAAGCCCCTTGGATAGACCTCAGTAGGATGTCTCTGTTAGACTGATGAGGAAGAGCTCTTTATAGTCCAATCCTGAGGACACTTCCCTGGGAGTAGGCCCCCTTGGATAGATCTAAGTAGGATGCCTCTGATGAGGAATTGTTATAGGAAGGGTATATGAGATTAAAGTATATGAGAGAGAGAGAGTCTGAAAATGTAATACAGGTTTCTGTGGACTGCCTCCCCTATTGTATCACACAGACCTTGCAATAGCATTGTAGCTAACCCCACCTAAGAAACTTCTATGCTGTTTCTATAATTTCTAAAATGTACTTCACACCAACTGTGCATCTCCATTCCTTTCTAATTCCTCTCAACTATGTACAGCTTTCTATGACGTGCTTCATTTGGACCGCTTTGTTTTCTCAGGTCCTAGACTCCTTCTTTTCTATAACCATGGATCTACATCCCCTTCCTCCAGCCTTGCTGCTTGTCCCAACTCTCTAAAGTCAGAGCAGTTTGGCCAGTGGCAACCCTCTGCCTGTCCAGGAAGTTCAACTAAATACCACTAGAGGTTTTGTCTCCACTGCTACATCACTTAATGCATCACAATATAGGTTCATGTTCATGCTATAATTTATGATGCTTTAGTTTGGGAAGATCTGTTTTCTTAGTCACATCAGTTGGTGCTATTTCCCCCCTGTAAATTCCTCTTCCATCCCAACGGACTCTGCTGCTCACATGTTGTCTGTCAATCCCCTCTTTATCCCACCCTTCCTCCAGTCTCCCTTCCCTTATATTGACCTCACGACAATGGCAATATCACCCAGCATGATGAAGGGAGTTTTGACTCTTTGAAACATATTCCCTGAAACTCTTGTTGGTCTCTAATCTGCTTTTGGACTCAAATCTAACTGTCCCAGTATCACCAAGTAAGTGTCATGCAAAGTGTAGATCTGTAGATCTGAACATGGGTCTCCTCAATCCACACTGGTCTTCATGCCATTGGTCCATCTACTTCAGCATGGTCTGCTCTGATGCAGGTGATCTCTAGAGATTCAGACAGAGACAGATCCTTTTCAACACCTGTTTTCTTAGACCTTCTCAGTTTAAACCTTTATCCTTTGGCACACAAAGCATGATTTTTCTACCATCAGTCTATCAGTGTCATCATTGTCTACTCAGACTGGCAGTGGTTCTCCAGGGTTTTATGTAGAGGATTTTGCCCATGCCATGCTTTGTTTCTGAGCCGTTGGGCCTGGCTAGGGGGGTTCGCAAGGGTTTCCAGGTCCCCCTAAATTTCTGGAGAACCCCTTCCTAAATCCTACATGGCTCTGCCTCCATAAATAGTGACAATGGCCTGTGATGTCACTGGATCCTCCCTATGATGTCACTGGGCCTCGGTTCTTTTAAGGACCTGGCACAGCAATGCCTCTGGCCCAGCCCCAGCCCTCCCCCCAGGAAATTGGAAAGTCTACGCCCTCGCGTGCTACTATCGGCAACTTGTTTTGCTCCGCTGCAGAAGCGGAGTAAAAAGACACCAGGGAAAGTCCAGTAGCAAATGGGTTTGCTACGGGCCAGGAATGGATTTTCCCCTGCCTGTGTGATCACGGCAGTGTGCTCTCATGGCATCAGGATGGTCTGATCGGGCCTCCAGCCTCCATGCCATTGTTCCCCCCCCCCATTTCAGTATGCACATCATCGCACACTGCATAGGGAGCACTCAGTGCAGAGATGCGAATAATCAATCTCTCATCGAAGCGCACCGGAAATACATGGCAAAAAAACCACAAACCGACTCACCCGCGGTTGCGTCTGAACATGCAGTGGCGGGCTGCCCCCACAGCTCCCAGGGACTGTGTGATCGCACAAATGCGGGTCAAATTCATGCGGAACAAATAGCCTCACTTTCCCTCCCGCACACATTATCTTGCGCATGTGAACACTGCCTAGAACTTCCTCACCCATTAGGCAAGATCTAAAGAACTGCAAGTAGAGCTCTGATTATAGAATGGATCTTTCCTTCCTCCCTTTTCCTGCTGTAGTCACCTGCACTCCCCAAAGATCCACTCTGGCATGCATGCACCTTTTTACCTTTCCATCTTTGAAACTCTTCATTCTCCAAGTAATTGTTATGCAGCTGTAAACCCTTAAGAAAATTGTGATATTGGGCAACAGAAAGGCGATCTGTCAAGACCCCTCGAAATGCACTGGAAAGATTTCCAGCAGGGACATACATGTGGGTTTTCAGCTCATATGGCCTCGTAGGCAAATCAGGATCTTCATCTGAAATAGAACATAAAAAGTAACAGAGATTTGGGGTTCACTTTTCCATAATACAGTGCTGGTTAAGAAAGGATTCACAAACATCCTACAAGAACAGCACCATTTGTAAGACTGTGGAACACACATATTCACAAAGCATGTTGAATTTGAGATAAATCTACTTAGATTAATGGACTTCCTTATTAGTGAGTATGCACAGGATTATAGAGTTGTGCTGGGGGAAACTAGAAATTTCACCATCCGATGTGGAACTGGATAGTTTGGGTCCATATTCAACTATACATTCCTAGCTGAGCCTCAACATTATTAGGACATCCTGGCGGAGTAGCAACCTTTTATCTGTTATATATCTGTACTTTCTTTATGAGTACACGTTTTATTTATTTTATTTATTTATTTAGAGATTTTTATTCTGCCCTCCCCAAACGGGCTCAGGGTGGATTACTTGGAGTTTCCAGATCAGTCATGGGGGCAAGCCCGCATAAAGCAAGTTACAGTAATTAAGCCTCAAAGTGACCATTGCATAGGTCACTGTAGCCAAGTCCTGGGGGTTTCCACACATTATTTACATCAGTTGTATGTCCGTACTGTAGACTGACACAATATAGGCACACAACCAATAGATATAACACGTGCACACACACACACAAACAGGCCAGGCCCAGGGCATATTGTAGGTTATCTTTGATAAATTAGTTTAAATGTTATTCCTTCCTTTGTTATGATGTTTTGTATAAACTTGTATTATGATAATTAAAAGCAAAATAATTTAAAAAAATAGAGAGAAGGCTAAAACAGAAACAAGAAAATCACTCAACCAAGATCTATGATTTTGTCTCGAGTCCATCTGTGCCAGAATTCTTCTGAATCATTAACATAGTTCAAGAGATATATGAGGTTCACTGAAAATATGCTGCTCCACATTCCTGAGAAAGGAGAGTGGTATCAGAGTTAGGGTGAGTTCACAAAGAATAGATTTAATAAAGTTCTGAAAGCAAATAAGAATGAGCGTTCTTTCATCTTGCTCAACCACACTCTCCCGTGCAACAAGACTACAAGACTATGGCTGTGGTCAGACAAGCAGTTTGATCCAATGTCATTGCTGTTCCTTTCTGGATTTAAAGTGCACTATCAGAAAGCAACATCTGCCTTCTGTTCCCCAGTTGTTGGCACCTCACTCTGACCCGTCTTCGAATTGGAGTTATTTGACACTAGGGAAAGTCTGGTCTTTACAGATGTTAGCACTTTCACTGCACATTTCCAGATGTCTGAACTCTCTTGCAAGCTCAAGCTGTCCGGGAAGTCTGATCGCACACTTCCATCTTTGCGCTTCTTCTTCTTTTTTTGGATGCAGTTAGAAATGTGTGCATAAGTGGATCTTGGTCCCAGGATTGAGAATCACCACTTGTGCATTTCTGCACCCAAACATTCTGTGAGGATTGGGAGCCCCTGAGGGAGTTGTTTTTGAGTGACAACCCCCCCCCAAACCCTTCTCTCCTGTTTCTTGGGGTGGGAAAGCCATGTAAATAGTCCCTAGTTAGGCTCCCACATTGGCAGGGAGCCTGGGGAGGCTGGCATCCCTAATACAGGGAGACTTGGGGAAAGCTGTAAAAATTTAAAAATCCTGGCAGCCTTGCTTTTGAGCAAACTTGGGCTGAATATCTGTCTCCAAAAGTATATGCAGGGTTTTCTGGGCATGGACCTTGGCTAAAGTGGGGGGGTATATGTTCACTAGACTATAGAGATCAGTTCTCCTGGAGAAAATGAATGTTTTGGAAGGTGAATTCTATGGCATTGTACCCCACTGAGGCCCCTGTCCTCCCCAGGCTGCATCCCCAAATCTCCAGGAGTTTCCATGCCTGGTGCTAGCAACTCTATCCCCCATCCCAGTTTCCCCCATATAAACTGTATTAACAGAAAAAAGTTGCTGTTTGAGAGCATCCCATGATTGACACAAGAGTAAATGCACCGAAGTCAATGGGGCTCCTCTCATGTAAATCTGTATTCCAAGAGAGGCAAAGCACAGGAGGCTGAGAGGGGCTGCAGTACTTGGCATAGGGATCATGGAGCTGTCACAATGAAGTGGTGCTTCAGTTAAACACTTCTGCATATGCCTGAGACACAACGATCAACCACGAAGCAAACACACAGTGAAGCCAGCTCATAGTAGCATGTCTGATCAAAACTTTCCATCTCCCTTATATATAAAAGCCGAATGGTGGTGGCACTTCTCTAGAACATTCCACACGCTCCGGAATTGGTTGGCGCCCTGGTGTGTCATTCAGAATCTGTCCCTATCCACTGGCTGCATTGCTTGAGTCTCGCCTCCAACATTCTAAACAGTTTGCTGTTCCTCTCCCCCCCATAGCCAGTCAGAACACAGAGGTTATTTGCATATGCAGCCTCATTGGCCTTTGCCTCGGAACACAGAGGTCGTTTGCATATGTGACTTATTGGCTTTTGTCTCTAACATTCTAAACAGCCTTGCTTTTTGTAATCATCTACCTCATGGATCACTGCCTTGTAGAACACAGAGGTCGTTTGCATATGTGACTTATTGGCTTTTGTCTCTAACATTCTAAACAGCCTTGCTTTTTGTAATCATCTACCTCATGGATCACTGCCTTGTAGTGGCGAGGGGGCTTGCGTGGTTCGATGAGGCTGTGGGCTATGCTGTGGAGGGCCACCCAGGATGGACAGGCCACAGCAGAGAACTCAGACCAAGCATGATCCCCCCTCAGGTCGGAAGGTGTCCAATATGCTACTGGGGAAGAGCAGAGGGCAAGTACAAGTAACCCCAGAAAGAGTGAAGCGGCTGGGCCAAAGCCGAAAGGATGCTCAGTTGTGGATGTGTCTGATGGTGAAAGGAAAGTCCGATGCTGCAAAGAACAATACTGCATAGGAACCGGGAATGTAAGATCTATGAAGCAAGGTAAGCTTGATGTGGTCAAAAATGAGATGGCAAGACTGAACATCGATATCTTAGGAATCAGTGAACTAAAGTGGACAGGAATGGGCGAATTTAACTCAGAAGACCATTATATCTACTACTGTGGCCAGGAATCCCGTAGAAAAAATGGTGTGGCCTTTATAGTCAACAAGAGAGTGCAAAAGTCAGTACTGGGATACAATCTCAAAAATGACAGAATGATTTCGGTCCGATTCCAAGGCAAACCATTCAACATCACAGTAATCCAAGTCTATGCCCCAACCACTGATGCAGAAGAGGCTGAAGTGGACCGGTTCTATGAAGACCTACAACACCTCCTAGAACTAACACCAAAAAATGATGTCCTCATCATCATAGGGGACTGGAATGCTAAAGTAGGAAGTCAAAAGGTAACCGGAATAACAGACAAGTTTGGCCTTGGAAAGCAAAATGAAGCAGGGCAAAGGTTAACAGAGTTTTGTCAAGAGAACACACTGGTCATAGCGAACACCCTTTTCCAACAACCTAAGAGGCGACTCTACACATGGACATCACCAGATGGGCAACACCGAAATCAGATTGACTATATAATTTGCAGTCAAAGATGGAGAAGCTCTATCCAGTCAGTAAAAACAAGACCTGGAGCTGACTGTGGTTCAGATCATGAGCTACTCATTGCAAAATTCAGACTTAAACTGAAGAAAATCGGGAAAACCACGAGGCCATTCAGGTTTGACCTAGATCGCATCCCTGATGAATATACAGTAGAGGTGAAGAATAGATTCAAGGGTCTGGATTTGATAGATAGAGTGCCTGAAGAACTATGGACGGAGGTTCGTGACATTGTACAGGAGGCAGCAATCACCACCATCCCAAAGAAAAAGAAATGCAAGAAAGCAAAGTGGCTTTCTGATGAGGCTTTACAAATAGCAGAGGAAAGAAGGAAAGCGAAAGGCAAAGGCGAAAAGGAAAGATTTACCCAACTGAATGCAGATTTCCAGAGAACAGCAAGGAGAGATAAGGAGGCCTTCCTGAATGAACAGTGCAAAGTAATAGAAGAAAACAATAGAATGGGAAGGACTAGAGATCTCTTCAAGAAAATTGGAGAAATCAAGGGAGCGTTCCATGCAAAGCTGGCCATGATAAAGGACAAAAACGGTAGGGACCTAACAGAAGCAGAAGAGATTAGGAAAAGATGGCAAGAATACACAGAAGAACTATACAAGAAAGACCTCGATGTCCTTGACAACCACGACGGTATAATCACTGACCTCGAGCCAGACATCCTGGAATGTGAAGTTAAATGGGCCTTAGAAAGCATTACTAACAACAAAGCTAGTGGAGGTGATGGTATCCCAGCTGAGCTATTCAAAGTCTTAGAAGATGATGCTGTTAAAGTGCTGCACTCCATTTGCCAGCAAATTTGGAAAACGCAACAGTGGCCACAGGATTGGAAAAGATCAGTATACATTCCAATCCCAAAGAAGGGCAACGCCAAGGAATGTTCAAACTATCGCACAATTGCACTCATATCACACGCTAGCAAGGTCATGCTCAAGATCCTACAAGCTAGGCTTCAACAGTACGTGGATAGAGAACTACCAGAAGTACAAGCTGGGTTTCGAAGAGGTAGAGGAACGAGAGATCATATTGCCAACATTCGCTGGATTATGGAGAAAGCAAGAGAGTACCAGAAAAATATCTACTTCTGCTTCATTGACTATGCTAAAGCCTTTGACTGTGTGGATCACAACAAACTATGGCAGGTCCTTAAAGAGATGGGAGTACCAGACCACCTCACATGTCTCTTGAGAAACCTGTATAAGGGCCAAGAAGCGACAGTTAGAACCGGATACGGAACAACTGATTGGTTCAGCATAGGAAAAGGAGTACGACAAGGATGTATACTGTCACCTTGCTTATTTAATATATATGCAGAGTACATCATGCGAAATGCTGGCCTGGATGAATCACAAGCGGGAATTAAGATTGCTGGGGAAAAGATCAACAACCTCAGATATGCAGATGATACCACTCTAATGGCTGAAAGTGAAAAGGATCTAAAGAGCCTCTTGCTCAGAGTAAAAGAGGAGAGCGCAAAAGTGGGCTTGAAGCTCAACATCAAAAAAACTAAGATCATGGCATCCGGCCCCATCACTCCTTGGCAAATAGAAGGGGAAGTCGTGGAAGTAGTGACAGACTTCACGTTCCTGGGATCCCAGATCACCGCAGACTGTGACTGCAGCCATGAAATTAAAAGACGCCTGCTCCTTGGGAGGAAAGCGATGGCGAACCTAAACAGCATGATAAAAAGTAGAGACATCACCCTGCCAACAAAAGTCCGCATGGTCAAAGCAATGGTATTCCCAGTAGTCATGTATGGCTGTGAGAGTTGGACTATAAGGAAGGCCGAGATGAGATGGTTAGGCAGTGTCATAGATGCAACAAACATGAAATTGAGCAAACTTCAGAGGACGGCGGAAAACAGGAGGGCCTGGCGAGATCTTGTCCATGGGGTCACAAAGAGTCGGACTCGACTGTGCGACTGAACAACAACCTCAGTTACCGGGGGCAGAGAAAACAAGTCCTGCAATGCTAATCTTAACTGAATGCAGGAATGTAAATAGGTTTGCCAGGTCTCTGCACTGCACTGGCAGTGGGGGGTGAGATTTTGGGGGTGTTCCAGGACATCACCAATATGATGACGCCACCTGGAAGTGACGTCTTTGCATCAGCGGCGCTCTTTTTTAAGGGCAAAACTCTATGGTTTTAGGCCAAAGTTACCATAGAGTTTTGCCCTCAAACCAGAGCATCATGTGCGACTTCCTTGACGTGATGACACCACTTCCAGGTGATGTCATCATGTCAGGGATGTCACACCCAGAAATGGCTGTTTGAGGGCAGTGTTTCCCCCGCCAGCCAGAAGCCCCAAAAAGTGGGGGATCCCCACTGGGACCTGGGGACTGGCAACCCTAAGCCAGCCATCCCTGGGGGGAAATGTGGGGTGGTGCCTAGTGTGTGGCATTGCACTGGCGTACTTGTCATTTCTGGTAAAAATTGGAAGTGACACATTGGATGCACTAGCATTTTGCGAAAAAACTCTATGGTAAAACTCAATGGTACTGTTTTTGCAAAATGGTAGAGCAGTTTGTACCAGAAATGACAAAGCTGCACTGTCTCAGTGGTGCCGGAGGTGCCAGCAGGTAACAAGGCAGGATGCCAAGAGACTTAACACTATAGCAGGAGGCCTGGCATCCCTGGTATGGAAGAAGGTGTTCTTACAAATATCCTGATCTCAGACTGTTTAGGCTTTAAAGTTAAAAACCAGCACTTTGAATTGGGCCTAGAATCACACTGGCTGCCATTGCAACTGTTTTACAAGTTCTGAAATATATTCTCTGAAAATGGCATGTATATTGTAGTTCCAAGATCAATGGAGCATAGGTATCCCATTTACCCACTGATGGTCTTGGGGAGAAAAATGGAAAAGAAAAATAAGGCCTAGGGTACTTAACAGGAAGTTCTGACCATAGAGTTCCTGATTATTCCTAAAGTTACCCAGAAGTAGCAAGGGTAGCTGTAGCAATTGCCCGAACCTTTTATGGTAAGATTACCACCAGAAACTCTTTGGTACTCATACCATAGTTCTGGCAATTGCTAGAGCTACCCTTGTCACTTCCTAGATTCCTAGAGGTACCTGGAAGTGGCAAGGGTAGCTGTAACAATTTCCAGAAACTCTATGGTAAGATTACCCATGTCACTTCCAGTAAGTAGCTCTAGGAATCACCAAGCACTCCCCATGGTCAGTGTTGTGAGAAAAATGTGTCCCCACACTCCCCCTCTGGTTCGTGTGTCCCCTGAGTGTTGCCTCCTTACCAAAGGCAGAGGTGTAAGCTTGGAAACCACTAAGCGCTGAAAGGTCTCTTATTAAAATAAAACTTATCTTTATTGAAAGAAAATATATTCTAATATTTACCAACACAGTACACGCCTATTTCCTAAATGCTGATAGTGAAAACATAAACAATAGACATGCAAGCAAAAACCCCAATAAACATGCAAGCAAAGTCCCCCCTCCCCCAAAGCATGCAGAGATGAAAATTTTTCTCACAACAGTCAGAACTTCCAGTAATTAGCTGAAGCCTTATTTTTTTATTATTATTATCATTTTATTTTTCTCCTGGGACACTGCCCCCCCCCGACAACCCTCCTGCCAGTTGCACCACAACCCTGATGGCACTGCCTGGCAACCCTGATGAGGCATGATCATTTAGTGTTCTCAGGCTCCAATATAAAACTTTTGGCTTGGAGCCATGGTACTTTTTTGAACCTGACTGCAACATAAAGCTTATATGTAACATTCCACCCCCCACAACTGTGGTTCATGTTTACAACACATATGAATTAAATTTAAGCATTCATCAACACATAGGGAGGTTTCCTTGACTGCTCCCCCAAACCTAAACTTGGTCAGGAAAGCATTTCCTAATTAAAGACTAGGGAAGCAGGTTAGGGAAACTACAACAGGGGGATACTACTGCTAGTTGGTTCCATAGGATAATTCAATACATTACCATGAAGATAGCTTATCCGAGACTCTGGGAGCTTCTTGATCATGCGACCCATAAAGAACTCACTTCCAAAATTCTCTGGACACACAAATGCTCCATATTTCAAGAACCCAATCTCATAAGGAGTAAATTCCACCCATTCTACAAATACAGACAGTAAGAGATTTCAACATGGTTTTTTAGTAATAAATTTTAACTGAAATTCTGCAACTCAAGGAATGTATATAATGCAGAGAGGAAAAGTGTAATCATGCCTCCCATTCCCTGTGAACTCTGGTGTGCTGTCTACATGCCAACAGCAGCAGGGTTTCACTGCAGCAAATGGGCCTGATTCTCCCAACAGCTGTTGTGTCTGCACCAGGAACAAGTCACCCTGTTGGTATACACATGAAGCTGCCCTATGCTGAATCAGACCTTTGGTCCATCAAGGTCAGTATTGTCTGCTTAGACTGGCACCAGTATTCCATAGAGGATGACTGCAAGAACAGATCAAAACATCATGGCATGAAAAATCTGCTTCTCACCCTTCCGCCTTTTAAAATTTTTGTAGCATCCTGCCTAGTGCAAAGCTCAAAAGTGTATTCAATTTTTGTGTCAATTTAGTTAGTCATACATATATATATATTAACATAGGGTTGCCAGAGCCTTCCTGGCCATGGATTTTTGTTCTGGTTTATGGATTGTGCATGGAGCAAAATGGCTATACAACCTTTTCTGTCCCAAGGTTACCAGTGAATTTCACAATTGAGTGGAGATTTGAAACTGAGTCCTGATATACTGTACTAGATGTCTGCTTCTTTGTAGCAAACAATAATTTCCAGCAAAGTACAATCTGACAGCTGATAGCTTTTAAACCAAATTTTTAGCCAGTGATAAATATGGTGATCTATGTGAAAATATGTGTCTATGTTCTATATGGGCTCTGGGTGAGCCCACCGGGATTTTTGACTTTTCCCCTTTAAACTGCAAAGCCTTGTGTGATATCTACCTGCTTTTTGTAAATGCTCTTAGTTTTAAAGAATGTTTGCCATGTGGTATGAAGATCTTCTGTTTTAAAATATCCAGTTTCAAAGCCTTTTTTCCCCTGAGCAATTAATCGTTTTAATACACTGTTGAATTGCGAAAGAACGAACCACCAAAAAAAGGAAGTAACAAGGTTTTGTCTTCATTAGGAGCAAGTTTCACAGCAAATCAGTATTTACAGCTTCTACAGATTTATGGCAAATAACTTTGATGGAAATTTGCTCCCTAAGGAGGAGGGTGAGAAGGTACTACTAGGTAAATGGAGCCCACAGGAGAATGGTAGCATAATCTATCCTTGTTCGCTACATAGCTCTGCTACAATCTCATCCCCCTCCCTCAAGTTTTAGCCAAACAGTTAGTAAACAAGTCACATTATAAAACCAGAAATATACTAAAACTACTATAGCTAACTTGCTAAAATAAGAGGTATTTGTTCACAGAACACATTGTAAAAATATTCAGTAACTTATTAGCTGTTGTAGATTTTCTGGGTAACTTAAATGAACTGCTACCATAACCAAGCTCCTTCCGCCCATGGGGCCAGCTGGTGCTTGCAGGTAGGGGCCACTTTGTCTCCCCCAGAAGGAGGGAGAGGCAGGTGACTAGCAATGCATGGTGTCCTGATATCACTCTGGGGGGTGAGATTGGCCGGGATTTAAGCTGGGCTCCGCCCCTGCCTGGCATGGGAGGGAAGCCTGAAGCCCTAAAACTGTTATTTATTAATATAATTTTGCAATTCAAGAATAGTTGATTCCAACCAGATTCTCATACAGAATTTATTTCATTGCTATGAAAGAGAAATATTTGAATTCCCTTTCCTTTGCAGTTTGACCTTTACCTTTATAGTCTTCAGTGCTGTAGTTTTCCTTGATATTAAGAGCTACATAGATTGGCAGAGGATTCTGACCTTCTGTCAAAGCTTCTCTCTGTTCTGAGAGCTTGTGGTTATCTTTCTGTATGTAAGGAAAAAATAAGAGAATGTTCTCAAGAAAACCTTTGAATGGACATAAAAGCAAACATCTGAGTAATGTTCCATTATTCCAGGACAAGCATTATGTGAGTAAATACAGGGCTGAATATACCATGAGTAGTTTGGACTTTAATAGAAGTCCAGTGGCACCTTATAGACTACCAACATTTATTTCAACATGAGCTTTCGTAAGACATCATTCACATATTCAGATATGTTTGGAAATCAAACTGTAAATTCTTCTTATTGGGCGGGTTACATGGGAGGGAGTTAAGGCAGAGGGTTAATTCCTCATGAGTCTTTTAAGTATAGATTCACTATGTGGGAGGGAAAAAATCCTTTGCTGTGAATATGAATCTTACCCAACTCCACTTATTTGTGAAATGCCCATGCACATATTCATAAAGACATATGAAACTGTGCCATCTACTGGCATTTCAAGACTGATGAGTATATACAGGGACAAGTGGAGAATCCACAAGGATTTGCAGCACTTGCCTTCTGGGGGCAAGAGATCTTCCACCCCAAGGTCCCATTGCCCACCAGCACTCTGGTGGCTGGAAAACCTAGATGTGACATCATACCTCTCTAAGAATCATCAGAAACTCTATGGGTTTACCATAGAGTTTTTATCGATGTCTAGAGAGGTATAATGTCACTTCCAGGGAAATGAAGTGATGTAACTTCATCACCTGGCGGCACCACACCATGCTCCTGCACCCTGGATTTCCATCGGTTTGCAGCCAGTGACTCGCAACTCCATTTTCCTTCTGTTTCTATTTCCGCTATCTGTTCCCTGAAAGCCCCCATAGCCTCTCCCGCTTTCCTGTGTTCTACTTTTATTTCTATCCATCAGCCAAATTACCTTTATATGTCCCCAATATTTAGCTTGCCCTCCTTCCCTCTCCCTGGCAGCTTCTAGCCAGGAAATCTATGGCCCAGTTGTGCAGTACTGGCTACAAGGATGGGCCTAGTTGAATGGCGAGGAACCTGCTCAGGGGGCATTTAACTTTCCTTATATTCCAGGACATTCAATGTGTGACCTCAGAGTAGCTGTTTTATTGCAAAAGAACTTCAAGAACAGACTAGAAAGAGAAATTGCTGAGTTACAAGTTTTTACAGCACTCAGAACAATGGAATTCCCAGGTCTTAACAGGGATATTGATTTCATATCTCACTATGTATGCTAACCTCATTCAGTCCTTACATCTGTATTCTCACACATCCTCTTCATTTTATTTGGAATATTATATAGGAATAGGAATTGTAATGCAATGTAATGAATAGTAGAATGTAATGTAATTTGGAATGGTAGATTGGAATGTATTTCTTTGGTCTGGGGACAGAGGAGATATACACTACACAGCCAATCACCCCACATCAAAGAAAAAGATGCTGTAAAATGACCTCCACGCTTGAGAGGAGACGGGTGAAGCTTAACAACAGGGTCTCAGTTAATTACCCTCAATATCCCACAATTAAGAAGGATAGATCTGCCCATCTATCTCCAGTTTTGATATATTTATTTCCTTCAGTATGTTTTCACCTGGAATTAAACCCAAACAAATGGTGACCATATAAACCAAGCTTGTTATTCAAGTTTGGTCCTTGCATCTGTTAAACACCCTTTATTATGCTTATGCTAATTTGTTGCTCACCCTCTACCTATATGTATGGACCGGTAACTTCCATTTCATTGAATCTAAGGAAGTGTGTACACACACACGAAATATTATATCTTAAATAAAACTTTGTTGGTCTTAAGGATGCCACTGACTGGACTTGAACTTTGTTCAGTGTCTTCTGCTAATGAAGGTGGGATCCAGGTCATTGTATGAGTGGGGTGACAGGCAGGAAGCAAAACCAAATATACTCATGTAACTTGTCACCCTTCTATGTGAGTTCTGAAGATAGGCCATAGGGTTTGTAACCTCCAGGTGGGACTTGGGGATCTCCCAGAATTAGAATGGATCTATAGACTACAGAGATAAGCTCCCTGGAGAAAATGGCTGCTTTGAAAGCTGGCCTGTGTGACATTAGATCCCACTGAGGTCCCTCCCCAGGCTCCACCCCCAAGTCTTCTGAGATTTTCCGACCTGGAGTTGGCAACCTTACTTCATGTACCATTCTGCTTCTGTAGCAGAAAAATAAAAGAATGGAAAAGGTGGGTCTTGCCTGTAATGATTTTTCTTTCCTTACCAATACCAGTATGTTATTAACATTATCCGTTTTTCAATTGACCAGTGTGCCCATGAGTGTACACCGGCTCAGTAGAAAGGAGTCCAGTGTGGCCTTGGAGTGAGAGGGAACGGGGTTGGTAAGACAACCTGGAACCTTCTGTTCTCCTTCTGACCCTCCTACTCAGAGGTCAATTCGGGGGGGGATCGCAGTTCCCCCTGATGAGGTGCGGGGGGCGGGACACATGATGAAGCCCCACCCCCTGCTTCCGGCCGCCCTGCTTCCAGCCCTCATTCAGCCAGGAGGAGGCAGGAGAAGAGGGAGGGTAAGTTTTTCTACTGGCTGTTTTTATAGGTGTTTTAATGCTGTATGGTGTATTTTAAATGAGGCATTATTTCTGTTTCTACTGGCTGTTTTTATAGGTGTTTTAATGCTGTATGGTGTATTTTAAATGAGGCATTATTTCTGTTTCTACTGGCTGTTTTTATAGGTGTTTTAATGCTGTATGGTGTATTTTAAATGAGGCATTATTTCTGTTTCTACTGGCTGTTTTTATAGGTGTTTTAATGCTGTATGGTGTATTTTAAATGAGGCATTATTTCTGTTTCTACTGGCTGTTTTTATAGGTGTTTTAATGCTGTATGGTGTATTTTAAATGAGGCATTATTTCTGTTTCTACTGGCTGTTTTTATAGGTGTTTTAATGCTGTATGGTGTATTTTAAATGAGGCATTATTTCTGTTTCTACTGGCTGTTTTTATAGGTGTTTTAATGCTGTATGGTGTATTTTAAATGAGGCATTATTTCTGTTTCTACTGGCTGTTTTTATAGGTGTTTTAATGCTGTATGGTGTATTTTAAATGAGGCATTATTTCTGTTTCTACTGGCTGTTTTTATAGGTGTTTTAATGCTGTATGGTGTATTTTAAATGAGGCATTATTTCTGTTTCTACTGGCTGTTTTGATAGGTGTTTTAATGCTGTATGGTCGTTATTTATCAGTTGTTTTGAATTGCTTCATTTTGTTACATACCATGTATCCTGGTTTCCTTAGAGAAGGGGCTGGAATATAAATATTTCAAATAAATAAATACCTGTAGTTCTTTGGAATAAAAAAGATTTGATACTGTACCCCTTCATTTAACAAATATTCTATCATGAGTCCCCAGAGATCTATAAAAGTTGTTTTATATCCTTCTTGTTTCCGTTGATTCAACTGCTGGTGATAATATTTCACACGATCAAGGCAAAAAATACCCATCTTGCTCTTGGTTACATGTTTCTTAGCCTCACATATGAGGTCATCCAGATTCCCATGGGACCAGTAAGCATGTCTGTACAAGTGTGCCATGGACCTGAAGAAGTATAGTACATTAATGAAAAAAATAAGCATAAAAAAGAAGATACGTAGTACTCCATAGCCACAGTCCTGTCATTTTGAGTTCAGTAGTACAAAAAATGAGTGTGTACCCTCAAGGTCGTCCCTGCAGTATTTCCTTACAAGGGATTCCAAATGGGTCTCATGCATACTAGAGACAAAGCATCAAAATGTTTCATAGATCAACCCTTCTTTACCATATGAAGCAGGTGTCTCATATGCATTACCAGTAGGCTGTAGTATGTGTAGTGTGAACATGCACAGGGAGCCTCTTTACCATATGAAGCAGGTGTCTCACATGCATTACCAGTAGGCTCATGCCCATCTTGTATGTGTAGTGTGAACATGCACAGGGAGCAAAAGTGGAACTAATGGGCATAATTCCTATAACCTCCCCCCCCTTCAAGATAACTTCTAAAAGAGTGTCCATGCATACAAAGTGTACATGTGAAATACATAGAACCGGATCATGTCTTCAGAACATGTGTCTTTTTTGTATATCTTATTTGACATCATCAACCCATGGATATTCATTTTTTATTAAAGTACATTGAGGATTACTTACACTCCTACTAACACCATACATTATCCAGACTTTGCAAAATCCTTTTCTTTGATCTCGAATAATATATTTTTAGAAATCTTTCTGATAAATATGATTTTGCGGTTCAGGACTGCTTCACAAGTTAAATGGTGGCAAAATGTGTGTCTTAACTCACTAGCATTCACATATGTACAGCACACAACTGGAAACACGAATGACTATCATTTAAGACATATAACATATCGTGAGTGTACCTTTTAAAAATGGAGTGTGCAAAGCATCTCTCAATGAGGAAAAATGACTGAAAGGTGCATGCAGCTTTTAATTTTGTAGGAGTAACAGATGGAGTGTTCTTTGCCATTAAAGAGACATTATCAACACAATGCTACCCCCAGCAGTAGCATACTTCACTAAAAATCCACATTTAGCACCACTTACCAGCATGTGCCAGACAAGCCAGACAAGTATGTGACGCAATCTAGGAGATTTAATTTTTGCAAACCCCTTAAACTGCCAAATGTTGTTGTGAACGATCTTGTCCCACCTCCTGTTGTCATGACTGCCACCACAGGAACCTGTATAACACATTAGTATAAGAAATTGTACTATATTGTCATAGACCAATATTTCCAGGGTGGTGGATACTATCTTGTGTTATTGGAACAGTAGGGATTTTAATTCCCCCCAATGAACCTCTGGAGGTGTGGACTACTTCAGGGGGAGTCTGCCATGGGAGGTGGAATCAGTGACTATTGCTCTCACTTTTTCTTTGGCTGAAGGATTTTCCACCACTGGAAAATATGTTAAGATCCACCCCCTAACAAAAGTAAAAAAGTCCAAAAAAATAATAATGCCCAGAGCAATCCTAAACAGAGTTAACCCTTCTGTGACCAGTGACTTCAAATCTGTTTTCTAACTTCAGCTTTTATTCCCCCCCCCCTACATCTCAGATGACAAAAATGAAGACAGATGTGCTAAGGCAGCATAGGGTGCAGCAACTTTTGGTTGTATCTCAAATAATGGGTATATTTGCAATTCTGCTTGTAGAAAACTAAGACATTTATACAATATAAATTCCAGAATTATGCCAAATGCTACAATTTTATGTGCTTCCTAACAAATGTAGAGTCCAGTGGCATTATACATGATGAATGCCATTGTTAAAACAGTAAAATAAGGTTATGTTAGATCAGAAAATAAGGATTTCATATACTTCCAACGCATGCATACCCTTTTGTTTTCATTTTTTTCCTAGAAAAAAAATCACAGAAAACCAAACATCCCCCCCCCCCCCCGCAACAGAAAACCAAACACCCCCCCCCCCCCGTGGCTTCACATTCTTTGGAAATCTTACATCTCAAAGTGTGCCTATTCATTTCACTTATTTTTATTGATGTCTGGTACAGCATACCCTGTTACAATGGAAGTGGGAGAACCGTAGCCTCTACACCCCCCTTCTCATTTGCAGCAGACTAACACTGAAAGAGATGTGTTTCCAGCTCTATTTTCCTTTCTCCCCCTCCCTTTCCTTGTCCTCAAGTGCAACCAAAGCCTTTCTCTTGCTTGGCACACATGGAGCCCTAGAAACCAGAACATCTCAGGCAACCAGAAGCCATGGTTGTTTAAAAGGAAAAGGCCATCTCTAAGCCACTGAGATGCTGCAGTACTTCACTGGAGGAAGAAATGCTGCATACAGAAATGCCAGTCATTCTGTTCAGCAGGGACTGTTCTGAATGGACTATTCCCATGTCATACACATACCTGTTCTCATTCCCTGTGATGCTCCAGCCCCTTTGGTTGCTTGGGAAATGGAACCATAACTATCAGATCTAGATGTGCTGGGCTAATCTTTAATGTTCAAAATAATTTGGTTAGGTTAGGAATATTCACCATATGGTCCAGATGTCAATGGGTATACACTATGCCCATCACCTCTTGCACCATGGGTGGTTGGGAATGAGCTGAGCCCCTAGGAATGAATGGAGTTACAGGTGAATAGGGGAAGCAGGAGAAAATGTAGCAACACCATACTTTCTCCTCCTTTCCCCACTGCTGGGAGGAGTGGGATTGAGTGCCTCATGTCCCAACTCAAGCATTTTAACCTTCCAGTCCACCTGCGAAAGAGTCACCCTACAGTTTGAGAACTACCACATGAAGGTGATCACAGTGACAGAAGCCCTTGGCACACAGAAGTTACATAACCTTTTATAATGTGTGTGTGTTAAGTGTCGTCAAGTCACTTCCAATTTATGGCCACCCTATGAATGAGCAGTGCCTGCCTCTGAAGCAGACGTTGGCATTTGCCTGCCCCCCCTTCTGCTTAAATGAAACATGTGGGTGGGGTGAACCAATCCTGGCTCAGCACGAAAGCACTGGCCAATCAAGGGCAAGCTGGCTGGCCACGTCTGGTGGCAGCCACCCTCCACATGCAGATCGGCCCAGCTCCCCACCCGCCCATGTGGGAACTTTCCCTGGTGAAGGACCATCTTCCTGAGCACTAAACAACTACTTTTCTCAAACAAAGAGAAAACTTTCCCATAGGAAAATTATAAAAGAAGATTCCTTGTCTTTTTTCATAGAATAAAAAGTTAATTCACTCTGATATGTCACATACCTCATAATCTTTCAAATCATAATTTAGACGGAGCACTTGCTTCAGAGCCTGAGCCACATGCCTTTTTCGCCTACATAAGAAATCTTGCTCCTGTGGACACAGATCATATCCCAAGCGCACATCTAGGTCCCCTGGGCTGGAACAATGACTTAAGGGGACATATACACAAACATATTATTATTATTTTTACTATTACAGGGAAGTATAGGATTTTATTGTGCAGAAAATTAGTGGGAAATAAATTACTGAGTATGAACGTTCAATGTGGTGGAATAACTGGAGAATATTTGTATAGCAACTAAGAAAATATTTTTAAAATGCATTGCTAAGCTGTTAAATAGGCTGAAGGTATTAAATGGGCTATGCTGAATGGTTTCCTCATCTTTCTTTCCTTTTTGCAAACTTATCTGCAAGTGATGGGAAAAGAATATGCAACAGGTATTATAGAAAAACCTCTGTTAGGCCTTGATGTTGCTGCAATCATGCCCATCAAACCACTAGGTGGAGTTGTGATCCAGGCAAATTATGTCACTCAGCTTTTTTTTTTTTTAAAAAAAAAAAATACTTCTGTTATGCTACATGGTGATCCATTTCTACCTTTCAGAACAAGGAAGTATATAAATTATAAATGACTGGTCAAATCCTGTGGCAAATAATGATGTGATGTCTAAAAGCTGTATCCAAAAACTGACCTGGATTCACAAGACGAGAGCTACCTTAGCTGACATTGTCGCTAACAAAACAAGATGGAATATTCAAGGCTCTTACCATTCATTCACTGTCACGTGTAAATTGTACTTTTTCTCCTAAAAATAGGAAGTAAATATTATACAAAGCAATCAGAATATAACATCTTTCCATACATTCAAACAGGGGGGGGGGTGCTTCTGGCTTTCCAAATACTTTCCTCTGTATATAGAACCTATAAAGACACCAGGAGACTAATTAAATATGACACCTCCATCCTACACACTTATTTAGAACTATGTCCTAACAGGATGTACTTTCCAGTTTAGACTGAGTTGCAAATCTATTAATGCTGAATGACTCAGTAGCTGTAAAATTGAGGAGTAAGTGTAGAAATGTGAAGGAACAAGGAAAACAATAGCGTCAAGAGGATGGAATGAAGAATTTTATCTTATCCATTCCACTTTTCTGAGGCTTAATGTATACATTACGGATACCATAGAGGTTACTTTACATTGCTACACACAGTAGCTGCTGTCATGCTAAGTCAAATATCTTAAGTAACTACATATTTAGCGGAATGTTCTTAGCACATGGGTCAACCTTTCTTTTTGGATGTCTGCATAACTATAAGAAAAATTGGTCCAGAGACATAGGGGAATTTCAGACAGCCGATATGTTCTGTTTCAGGAACTGTTCACTAACTGTTTCTGTACTGACATTTCAGACAGAACTGTTTTAGTAATGGTTCCCTTATGGAATATATTGACCCTTTCAGACACAAACGCTCCTGTCCCGTTAGGGAAGTGTTCCTGAGCTGTTTTACCTGCAAACTGCTTCCAAGCAGTCTTCAATTTTCTATACCGTTCCTGAAGCATTACAGGGTGCTGTGTAAAATGCCCCTGTAGCACTTCCTCTGAGAACGAGGTTTTCCCACCCTTTTTCACCTGCATGGGCGATATGTCTTTTTTTTAAAAAATGTTCTTTTAAGAGCGCTATAGTGCTATAACACAACACCAAAACAGCACAATAGTGACCCCATTGGAATGCCTGGACCACTGAGATACATGAGATCACTACATCTGGGGAGAATAGGGATTTCAATGGAGTACAATGCCATGGACTCCTCATTCCACAGCATTTACTATATGCCTGGGAACTGATATCTGTAGACAGGAGATAAGCTGTAACTCTGCAATGCTCCCTCTAAGCTGTGGAGTCCTGTGAGCAAAAATTCCACTTTGTGAGCTACTGGCATTAGAATTGTGAGCAAGTTATTTGGCTACTGCATAAATTATTTATTTATTTTTATTTATGCATTCGAATTATATATCGCTCAGACCCGGAGGTCTCTGAGTGGTTTACACGCAAGTTTCCAATTACAATTCCTAAGCTAAGGCCACATGTAGTACGGGGGTGGCGCTGCCTACCAGCACCCAGCTGGCGAGCTAGTTGTTCTTCCGGCTCTGGCTACTTCCTCCCTGCGGTCCTCTGGGTTGGCGTCCCATTTCTGGCGTCCAGGAGCAGGTTCCTCCAGCTCGGCGGTCTTCTCGGCACGTGGTCCGTGTCAGTCACAGTTGGCCTATGTCCATATCCGGCTCCGCCGCGCCTGCGCCTCCACACCACCACGCTCCTCCACAACTCCTCCTCCTCCTCCATTCATTATCAGGCTTGCCACACATGATGTTGCTTCTACTGGCCACCAGAGATCGCCTCGCCGTTGCTCTGCTGCTGCTGCTGCCACCACTGATGCTCTCGCCACACACCTCACACAGAGGACTGTGCCCCCTGCCCTCTAAGGGCAGGTACCCATTTATCTACTTGCTCTGTTTACTTGCTTTTGAACCGCTGGGTGGGTGGAAGCTAGGACTAGGGTCAGGAGCTCACTCCAGCCGTGGTGGGTCTTGAACAGCCATAGTGCTGTTCGTTGATGTTATTGCAGGTGTTTTACTGCCTGCGCCACCTGCTCTGGAGCCATTCTTCCTGAGCTAAGACAAAAACGTGTGAGCCGGAGGCTAAAAAACTGTGAGCCAGCTCCCACTAACTCGGCTTAGAGGGAACACTGGCTAAAAGTACAGGGGATCCCCAGGTCCCCCCTGGAGGCATGGCATCCCGAAATGCTGGCCATCAAAAGGAGGATGCTGTTTGCAAGCCAGGAAGGAGCTAGTGTTAAAAAAATGCTCTCAAACTGTGTGTTCCTAAGCTTCCACTTCCTATTTTTAAATCCCCCAATCTCATGTATCTCAATGGAGTCCAGGTATTCCAATGGGGTCACTATTGTGCTGTTTTGGTGTTGTGTTATAGCGCTATAGTGCTCTTAAAAGAACATTTTAAAAAAAGATGAAGATTGCCCGCATGGGGAAAAAAAGGGCAGGAAAACAAAGCGGTGCAGTCTGAAATACCAAACCATTTCAGAGACGGCTCTTTACCAGTAGGGGAAAGGCTGTGTGAAATGGCCGCCCTGTACCGGTTTACTCCAAGACAGTACAAGAACGGTTTAAAAAGGGTAATCTGAAATTCCCCATAGTGAACAACTCCACAGGAACAAAGATTTATATTAAAAAGCCATCCTGGGGAGCACTATAGTGGGTCATAGCATGTAAACCTACCCCTTTCTTTGTAAGACAATATCTGTAGAATGACATTTTCCAAACAACTGCTAGCACAACTGTACTATTTTTGCAGCATGAAATATGCTATGCCCCAAGCAAGCTAAAATGCTGTTAACTAATCGCATTCAGTATTTTCCATTTTTATGGTCCAATGCAAATGTTCCTCTGGCTCTACTTATAGTTGAAACCTCTTTGTAGATATGAATGAAAAAAAGCAGACTTCAAAAATATATCCTAGAATACTGTAATAGCCATGTAAACAGTAGTCTGTAACAACCTCTGTGATATAGCTGGGATTGTCATCTGTGACTTGGAGATTTGGGGGCAGAGATTTAGGAAGGGCAGAGTTTGGGGAGAAAGCTCAGCAGGGATGTCACATCTGTAATATGACATCCAGTTCAAAGGTCAGCTCCTGCAACTCCTCCCATCAAAATCCAAATTTTAAATTGAAATTTCCCACCTCCGATCACTTCCCCCCACTCCCCCCCCTAAATCCCATGCAGGGTTCTATCTGTATGTGTTCTCTCTATCATACTAACCCTTTGATCTTAAACATTTGTGCTAGTGTAACTGGGTCCTAAAAAGCCTTTCTAGGTTTTCCTCAGTGTTGGGGGGGGGGAATCTACTCTGAAGGCCCAAAGGAGGATACCACCCAACAACAGTCCTATCTCTCTCAGTCTCCAACTGGCTTCTGGGCAACAATCATTTTCTCTTGGTCGCTATGGTTTATCATAGGAGAAACTCTTAGACGATCCATCTTCTGTAGCCACTGTAGGACTTCTGGTTCTCCTAGGCTCTATTGTATACCATAGAGTCCATTCTCTGAAGCTGCTATTTCCTGTAGCAGAACTAATATCTGTTGTCTTGTGATCAGTTGTAATTCCAGGAGAACTCCAGGACCCACCTTGAAATTGGTAACAAGAGATAGCAAGTTTGTGATCCAAAACACAAACTTTTAGAGTAAGACTTCTACCTAACCATGGATTTGGGCATTACTTTAAATGTCACTCCTTTGCAATATCAACTTCTGGACAAAAATGTACAAACCCTGGACAACAAAGTCTAGTACATTTTTGCTACCTGGGAACCAGTTCATTCATGCAGCTAATCACTTATGCTGGGGGGGCTGGATTGCTATAGAAGGGGAAAGTAGCTTTCCCCATACAGAGCCATTAAACTGATAGCTAGATCTTTCAAGCTCTCAGGGGCCAGGCAAAATTATCTTGGGGTCATAGGCACCAGTTGGCCATACCTGACTTCCACATGGAGTTACAGTTACAGTTATATGATCCTTTCCTGCTCTATCTTTTTCTACTGGTTTAATATTTTCAACATAGCATACTATTGTAACATATGCAGCCCTTGCCAGCATGCCAGCATGTAACTGAATTTCATGTTTGCAGTTCACAGAAACCTCACTTGGCATTCCTCTTCAGAGCAGAGAAAAGGTTCTGCTTCTACCACAAGAGCATGATCAGTCTGACACAAATGAATCTGTCTTTTGACCACTGGTTGATAGCAAACACATACTGAAACTAGATAATAGTGGTGCTCACCTCCACTATTGGCACTTTCTCTCCCTTTGGCAATGAATTCAGCATTACAGTTGGAACACCTGGTCTGGTTTTATAAGAACAGGTAAACTGAGGAGAAGAAATAATTCCAGTTAAGAAAAGGATTATCCTGTTTCACAATAAAGGTTAGGCTGTATTGTTTTTATGGTTATTAAACTCAGTTAACATACAAGATCGAACCGTGGTTTCTTTTTTGGCAGCATAACATCCAAGGATGACTCGTTGTACTTGGCAAAATGGAATGTGGTGGGACACAGGGGCATGATGGCAGCATCAGAGCCCAGCTTAAAACAGTGACTGCCTTCACAGGATCCTTTTACTGTAAGTGCAAGGTCTCTCTCTAAGGATAGGAAGCAAAACATAGAAAAAAACATTATATGCGTGTCCATAGAAAACAATAAACTATTTTAAAGTCTCAGTTTGATTTCTTGAAAAAGTCATGCCCCAAATCACTTGGTAAATGAAGATAAACATTACCCTCTGAGGGTGAAAAACTCAGCCACATGTTAACTACCATTAACCAAATAAGAACAGATGTCAAGGAGCTTCTAACTGCAGAGAAGCCATAATGATGCCTAGCATTACTATGCAGGAAAACAAATTCAGGTAGGGAAGAAAGGTGTCACATTCATACGTAAGGACACATGCATGTTCTATTTAAACTAAAAAATCTTAAATACTACTGGCTGCAATCATATGCACAATTAGACCCAACATAGGTGTGAATGCTGGGCGGATTTAAAGGGCACGATCAGACAACAACATCTGGCAAGCACCCTGCAGCCATCCGCAACCTGTTCTGCTCTGCCACAGAAGCGGAGTTAAAAGACACCGGGGAAAATCTGGTAGTTAACGGGTTGTGACAGGCCATGGACAGACTTTCCCGGGTCTGATCACTCCAGCGTGCTCTCATGGTGTCAGGATGGTCTGATCAGGGGGTGTGGCATATGCAAACGAGGTATGCTAATGAGTTATGCTAATGAGCTCCTGCACCTCTTTTTCTACGAAATGATCCCTGGATCCCATGGGGGGGGGGCAATCACCAAAAAACTCACCCGCAGTTGCGTCTGATCACACACTGACAGACTGCGCCCGCAGCTTCAAAGGGAGGTGTGATCATGCAACTGCAGGTCAAATTCCTCCAGAGGAAATAGCCTTGCACCCCTGCCCCCCCCCCCCCCGTTTTTTTGGCGCATGTGACCGCAACCACTGTTGCAAAGGCTGTCTTGATATTTGAATGTTCTGAGTCAGGTTGGTAGGCTTAAAATATGTTGAAGTTTGTCAGTTTCATTAGAGGGTGGGAAAGGTTATTAAAGGCAAGAAGAGTCCAATAAACTGGATGACTTTGATTCCTGCCACAAGTACCCTGATTAGCTTGGCATTGGCCTCATTTATGTCATTGTCTTTCACCCTTAGTAATTCTTCATCATCTCTGAATGGTAATGATATAATGACCTGATTGGCTCATAACCACATTAAATTTGCAGGATGTCTAGGAGTAATGAGATAATGACAAGATTAATATTGTAATGACTGGAAAGTGTCCCAGGAAGTAAGGATAAGTTCTGATGCTTTTTGGGTTGGCACTGGTTCAGAAAACTAAAAGCACAGGAAACCTTTTGTAATGCTTGCCATAAGGATGCCATTGATCATGCTAGTCCCATGCGCCCTGTGTGCCTGTGGTATGGAGGGCACAACCAATTGTCATCATTAAGTGACTTCAATGTGGTTGCTACCTGGTTCCTAGACCCCCTTTACTTCAATGTAAATTCAGTGCTGTGAAAACCCTACGAGGTCACCAGTGTTCCCTCTAAGCTGAGTTAGTGTGAGCTAGCTCACAGTTTTTTAGCCTCCAGCTCACACATTTTTGTCTTAGCTCAGGAAGGATGGCTCCAAAGCAAACTAATTTATGCAGCAGCCAAATCACCTGCTCACAACTTTAATGCCAGTAGCTCACAAAGTAGAACTTTTGCTCACAGGACTTCATAGCATAGAGGGAGCATTGGAGGTCACCATAAATTGGCTGCAACTTGGCACACTTTACACACACACACAGAGAGATCATCAGATCATAATCATTATCTAGAAAAGATTTAATTTATACTTTTGTAATTCAATGAGCAGGTAGGATTGCATATGCTCAACATATGGGCAATACGGTGATAAGGTTGGTCAGAAGCTGAGTTTGTGAGTGAGTTAACAACTCCTGTTTCCTTCCTGACTGTTTTGGCCCACCCCTTATTTATCTTTACCCAGGTCCCTCTTCTTACTCCAATCCAATCCAAATACCTTTATTGACATAAAAAGAAAAAAGGTACAGCATGGCCAATTTACAGAGAATTTCAATTATAAAACTCATCAAGCATCACATAGAAAAGCTAGACTTTTGCTCCCTGTTTGATTGTTATGGCAGCCAGAAGGTACCTTGCAACTGAACTTGTACTGTTGGAACATTGGTCAGATAGTAAAAGAGATACTAACTTCACCTCAGATAGACCATGAAAGTTAGACACAAGAGGTTAAATTATACAGTCCCGCACTTCCCCATAAAAATCACAATGAAGTAGAACATGGGCTACCATTTCTGGGTGCATTCCTTTACAAATATCATAACAAAAATCACTTGGCTTTCTGTTACTGTGAATAGAATAATAACTGTTACCTGAGAATAAGCCTTATTGCATGAAGTGAGATATCAGTCTCTCTCAAACAGTACTAAACTGCAAATGTACTTTAAAAAACTCTTTTCAGTAGAATAGAATAATAACTGTTACCTGAGAATAAGCCTTATTGCATGAAGTGAGATATCAGTCTCTCTCAAACAGTACTAAACTGCAAATGTACTTTAAAAAAATTTCTACCAATCCCAAACAAACAAACAACCCCCTCCCAGACTCACAGGATACTTAAAGAGGGAAGGAAAACTGGGGATGTGAGGCCAATTTCATTGTCGAGAGAGAGGAGGGCAGGTGAGCCAAGTTTCCAGATGGTGTTGTCTTCCTGTACCTGCACTAACTTTAGAAAGTGATTCTAGAGTCAGGTCGCACGGACATTTAGTGCGGGCTTCACTGCTGATCCCTCGCACATTAAAGTTTCCTGTTCATATTGGCAAACCTGCCTCCCGCACCGAAGTGGGCTGAGTCCCGCGGTTTCCGCTCTTTTTATCCGCGTTTTCTGACACCCGTTGGAACAGGTGTTTTTCTGATATCTCACACTTTGTATCCGCGGTTTTGGTATCTGGACAGCAATCCGCCGTGACCGCGCTACCCTCCCCCCTTTTTTGTGTTTCCGGTTTAAGTTATGCACATGTGCAAACAGGTGCTAGCTTTTATTTTGGTCTTTTTAGTTTGTATGTGCGCCCAAGCGCATGTGCAGGTTTTTTAAAAACGGGGGGACAGCGCGCTGTGTGATCAGTACTTCAAGCGAGTGAAGCGGAAGACAGAAGGACCATCTGACCACCTCCTAGCGATATAAAATGTCATGGATAGAAAAACTGCAGGAAAACTAGCGAAGTAAGAGGTCCGTGTGACCGCAGCCCTACTCCCTGGATGCTAAAATCCAACTAGCTCCAGATCCCTCTTCCCATTCCATTCTATTTCCCCTCCCCTCCTGCTGCTGCCTCCTTGAAGAAGAAAAAAGAAAGCAAGAGAGCAGAAGCAGAAAACAAGTCTGGGCATCCAGCACTGAAATTATTAATCGAATTAATGGAAGACAGGCAGCCCCCCCCCACAAGGGGAGGTGGGGAAGATCTTAGGTGCAAAATAATTGCAGAGAGCTTGGTGGACAAGGCAGTAGACCAGGGATTTATTTTTTGCTTGCTTGTTTGTAAAGTAAATTAAGCTAGAGGGGAGACAAAAGAATTTACAGGATTTTTGATAACCAGAAACTCTTTCAGTAGAAGATGTCCAGGATGGAGGTATGTGTGACAGGGAGGCAGGTATGTGTGAGTTTCCTGCATTGTGCGGGGGGTTGGACAGGATGGCCCTGGAAGTCCTTTCCAACTCTGTGATTCTATAATTCTATCAGCTTTCTGACAATGCATTTCCTGTTTTGGCCAGGGAAGCCATTGAGGGGGAGTAGTTTGCATGCACTCAGCCATTTGAACATTATTATAAAAGATTTCCAAGTCTGGTTTATCTTGTATGGTTCATATAAGAAGTTTAAAATGCCCCACCCCTGCTGCAGCACAAAGCAGCACCAGTTTTATGGAGGTGGCATAATTGCTGCTTCCCATTATCTACTCCCACCCCACACTTGTGCCTAGTCAGTGGGAGGGGGAGAATGTAGCAGAGCAAACTGTGGGCATGGTACCTCTGTTCTGTTCCAGTACTCTGCTTTCTCTTCCCTCATATTCTGATAGTAAAGTTCTCACATGTGTGTGGGTGAGGCTTCTATTTAAGGCTGCACCTCGCCAGAGGTGTGAGCCTCTGGCGTGAGCCGAGGGGCTCTTGGCCTGTGGCTCTTAGCCTAGGGGCTCTGTAAGAAGCCCAGGAAGGACCAGGAAGCCAGGGCCCTAGTCTCCTTGTGTTCCCAGTAAGGCAAGTAGATTTTTCACAAGGACAGCCACATAAATATGAAGGGTTTTAAAAGGGGGAATTTATATATAATTTTATATATAATTATTTTTAAAGCAATTATGAAGGCAGAATGCCAGTAGGGGGTGGGGGGCTATCCAGTGTTTTCCACAGAGTGTAACATGTATGACTATCTACCCACTGGACAGAAGTCTTGGGTGTGTGCCTCGTGCAATAAGATCCTGGTTCTCAGGGAATGATTCTGCACCCTTGAGACCAAGGTGGCTGACCCGGAGAAGCAGAGACAATCAGTTAGGTGCATGGAGAAGACTCTTGGGGACTTATTAGATATGTCCCACTGTGAAAATGGCAGCCCCGCCACTTTCAGGGAGCATGAGGGTCGAGAGGAAACATGGAAATGTCTTCGGACAGCGCTGGCCCTTCGGCTTGCAAACAGAGATGAGCATCACAACCCTAGAGTCGGATTTGACTGGCTTTCGAGCAAGGCAAACCTTTACCTTTACTTATATATATATATATACCGTATACTTTATCTCAGCTGTTAACAGGATAGCTTTTTAAAGTTCCATTCCACTACCACTGATTTCTTATAACAAATTCTTCTTCTTAATTACTGTTTTTGCAACAAAGATCATAAACAATGAGACCAATGATTAGATTACTTATCTACACCATAATATAACCGTTCAAATACAAATTGTAAAAGTATCCATAAACTAACTTGACTTGTGTGGCTTTGACAGATTCACCTCAGCTTCCAGTTTGCAAACCTCACGGCACTGCAACAGAGATAAGAGACAAAATTAGCTAGAATAATGAGTTCTGGTGGCATTGGCCAGATTACTTTGGCCCCCAAATAGAAGCGTGTGGGGCCAGAACCAGTATTGGGACCAGGTACTGCTGTATGTCTCTGTGCAGGGAACAGTCCTCAGAGAGTGAGGATGTGTCATTTGGTGGCATTCCAAAGATTTTGGGGAGTCACAGCCTGTCCCCAGTTTCTGCCTGTGTGATTGTCCTGGGGGCACCACACTTTGGAGCAGCTGGTACAAGAACCGTGCTTTGGGCCAGGACACAGAATATGTCCCCTTGAAGGGGAGAGTCCGCTGAACATGGGGGTGTATGAAGTGTGGTGGTCCAAATTTTATTTTGGGTGCAGAGGGCACATCCTTATTCAAATCTCCTTGGAAATACAGGCTCTGCGAGGCACTCCAAATAGAAGCTCGTGGCATTGGTACCAGTGTTTGGACTGGGCATCATGGTATGTTATCTTGCATGGGACAGTCTCCAGAGCATGGTGATGTGTCATTTGGGGTGGTCCAAAGATTATTTTGGGGTGCAGCATGTCCCAGTGTCTGCCTGTATGACTGACCTGGGGGTACTGCACTTTGGTTAAAACTACTGACTGGTTCCATAAATAGTGTTAACTACTGGAATGTACTCTGTTTTAGATGAAGAAGAGGAAGAAGAGATTGGATTTATACCCCGCCCTTCACTCAGAGTCTCAGAAGATCAGCTTACAAATTCCTTTCCCTTCCCCTCCCCCCAACAGACACCCTGTGAGGTAGGTGGGGTTGAGACAGCTTTTTCCAGAACTGTTCTTGAGAGGACAGCTCTGACAGAACTATGGCTTGCCCAAGGTCATCCAGCAGCTGCATTCTCCCACATTAAAGTCCATGCACTTAACCACTACACCAAACTGATAGTTGTTAGTGAAATAGTGATTAGAACCAAAACACATATTACCTTATTTTGTTGGTGCTTATTTTATAAAGAAAGATATAATTTGGGGGGTTGAAATTCTTATCTTTGTATACCATTATTCCTCTGAGGAGCTCAGGATGGAACACAGAGTTCTCTGATCCTCGGTATTATCCTTACAACTATGCTGTGAGGTGACACAGTCTGAGCTGGCACAAGAACCGCGCTTTGGACCAGGACACAGCATTTGTTCCCTCAAAGGTGAGAGTCCACTGATCATGAAGGTGTATGAAGTGTGGTGGTCCAAACCTTATTTTGGGTTGTAAAGGGCAACCAGTTCCTTATTCAAATCTCCTTAGAAATAGAGGTCTCTTGGAGGCCTCCAAATAGAAATTTGTGGTGCCAGAACCAGCGTTTTGACCAGACAGTGCTGTATGTCCCCTTGCAGAGGACAGTCCCCAGAATGTGGTGAAGTGTCATTTGGGGTGGTCCAAAGATTGTTTTGTGGGTGCAGCCTGTCTCCAGTGTCTTTCCATGTGGTTGTCCTATGGGCAGCTGGCACAAGAACCGTGCTTTGGACCAGGAAACAGGATATAGCCTCTCGAAGGGGAGAGTTCTGTGAACCTGGGGGTATATGATATGTGATCATCTAGACCTTATTTTGAGATTCAGAGCGTTCAAACTCTCCTCAGTGTTTTTGGATGAATTTATGAATAAGACGCGAATAAGAAATGAATAATAAACTGGGAATAAGAAACCAACTTCAGCCTCCTTTTCCCTTTAGCATATTCTGTAGCAGGATAAGCACAGGTTCGCCCTCTTCTTCCTCTGATTCCAGGGAGCATTTGAAAAAAGCACTGTAACCACAATAACTCAGTTCCCCAAGGTTCCTGAGTCCCAATATGAACTCAGTTTCCTAGATCACACAAGTACTATCAGCAGTAATAAATTGCAACAATATTACATAAAATAATAATTACCACTAGAACTCCATTTGTAATAATGTTTTCAGGAGGACCTTCCCTAAAAAAAAAAAGGGAAACATTTATGTATATATATGCCTCTGGGTTTTATACAACTGTAGTGAACTTATTTTGTAATTATGAGGGCTAGAAGTGTATAATAAGGAACAGAAATGTTTTTCTTAATAAAAATGGAGCATGGAGATTTCTCTTCCCATAATCAAGAGGTCTTCTCACATGCATCAGCAAAGATACTCCAAGCCAATCAAATCATTGCTGGTGCTTATCTCTTTAGGAGAAAGAATGTGAGGATCTAAATTCAATGCTCCTCAAACAATCAATCAGCACTGAGAGCACCAATTATTTCCCCATTGACATATGAGGCACCCCTCTTTCTTGAGTGTGTATAGAGGGGGAAATTCATAACGGCCAGTCACATATGGAAACATGCTTCAATAGCACTGTGACTAGAACTGAAATCAAATAGATTTGTCATTTTTCTTTTAAATGTTTCGACACCAGCCTGAGCATGGAATGACTCTAAGAAATAGTAGAAGATCATAAAACATAGAGAGAGATGGCCCATAGAATCGCCAAGAGTTGGACACGACTGAATGGCTAACAACAACAACCTATTTATATTCTCTTTTAAAACTATTTCCAGTTAAGAGTTTGGATTCAGCTGGACATTTCTAGAGGAGAAAGGCTTTCCACCTGAAGCTGACCACAAAGCATGACTCCTACTACAGCCTGAAGTTTCCCCTCCAATACTGTTCATGGAAGACTGAAGACTCACCAGGAAGTGCATTTTAAAGGACATTTTCAGCTACTGCAGGAGAGGGGAGGTGAAAAGTTGCCCTGGATTCAACGTTTGGCTGGAACCATGTCAAGGTTTACAAATAGACGATATAAGGCATGGCCAGTTACTACTTAACACTACCACCTTAAAATGTATCAGTCAGACTTAAGATCTGTTGTGTCTATCAAACATGCCAAAATAGGATAAATTGAAATATAGCTTAAAAAAAAGACGACTGTTTTTTAAAATCTAAGTATTCTGATTTTGGCGAAGTGGTTCCCCCCCCCCAGCTCTTTCATCAACAGTGAGTTTATTGAATTCAGGAAATAAAAGACACCAATGGGTCCTTTTACTCCTAGAGAAAACAGGAAATATTGTTCTTCTTGCTGACGTACTGTTCCATTAATTTTGTATCTCATAATTAGTTTTGTTCTTTACTTACGCAAGTTCCACTAAAAATTCAACATCCAGCTCCTCTTGTGCCTACCCCCAGAAGACAAAGCAAACAAAAAAATAAAATTGAGATGATCATGTGATAGTGCCTTCTCTCTGAAATAAAAATCAATGAAATGTGCCAGAGGGCACATGCTAATAACCAGGCTGTGCATAAATATTAGCTGTTTTGCAAGCAAATCTCTGAGAAATATAAATTAAACAAAACTATTCACTTTCCTACCCAACACTGGTAGTTACATCAGCAATCTTAACAAATAAGACAGCTTTATGACTGACCTAAGAACAGTAAAGAATAAGTGTTATGATGGTAGTTTTCTTGATGATCTTTTGGCCCAGTTTTACAAATGGAAAATACTGTCAAAAATTGTTTTTAATACATTAATTTATTATTGTTGTTGTTATCTGCTCTGAGCCCTGTTGGACAGGGGAGGAAGGGCTATACATCTAATAAATAAATACATACATAAATGTTCAAATTTTACTTTTGTAGTGTAAGAAAGCTATTGTGTTTTTAAATGCTGATAGGTAAGTAACTTAAAAAGGGATCTATAAAATATAAAGCAGCCATGTTCAAAGATGTACAAAGAATGTACAACAATCAGGAGTTTCTATGTCAATATAAGACAAGAACTGGAAAATTAATATGTTATGGCAAAATGTCCTAGAAATTAGAGTTTATTTGGTAGCTTGAAGAGGTCACCTCTTAGTACCCAACGCAACATAACATTTCCCAACATTTGTCAAATTCTGGCTCTTTCATAGGATGCATGGGATGCAATTAGAACAGCCTTAAAATCTATTAACAATAGATTGGGCAATGTAATACCAATGGAGCTGATCACTAGATCCCGGGTTTTGCAAGCTTGGGCAGAGATAAAACACAGAAGATTTGCGTCCCAAGACCCTTTTGGACCATCAGATATGACTCATGGGCTGCCTTTGGCTCAGTTGTTACAATTTTTAAAGGCCTGCACTGAAATGTCATTGTTAAAAGTCTTTTTGACGTATTTCAGATCTCACCTCAGGATCAGACTTAAAGGTCATGAAAACACTTTCACCATCTGGAAGCCTAGAAATATCAAATCGTACAGTGAAGAGGTGGTCATCTGGAGTGACAACATCTTCATCACAGACTGTCAGCTCCAGCACATTCTGTGAAGACCAGAGAAGTATATTAGATCAGATGCCAACAATAATGTGTTTACAAAAAGGAGAGTATCCTTCCAGTCATAAGAACACAAGAAGAGCCCATCTGGTCCTGTCTCACACAGTGACCAACCAGTTCCTCTGGAGATCCAGCAACAAGACATAGAGGCTGATGCCTTCCCCTGATGTTGCCTCCTGGGACAGGGATTCAGAGGTTGACTGCCTCTGAATGTGGAGGTTCCCTTTATTCACCACTGATAGACCTATCCTCCATACATCTGTCTAATCCACCATTAAAGCTCTCTGTGCCTGTGGCCACGACTACATCCTTTAGCAGCAAATTCCACATAAGTTCTTATTTTGTTGATGCAGAAAACAATAGAAATAAGAAGACAAAAATGCAGAACTATTGGATAGAGACATATATTAATCTAATATACTGAATATGCTTAAAACTACTGACTGGTTCCATAAATAGTGTTAACTACTGGAATGTACTCTGTTTTAGATTAAGAAGAGGAAGAAGAGATTGGATTTATACCCCGCCCTTCACTCAGAGTCTCAGAAGATCAGCTTACAAATTCCTTTCCCTTCCCCTCCCCCCAACAGACACCCTGTGAGGTAGGTGGGGTTGAGACAGCTTTTTCCAGAACTGTTCTTGAGAGGACAGCTCTGACAGAACTATGGCTTGCCCAAGGTCATCCAGCAGCTGCATTCTCCCACATTAAAGTCCATGCACTTAACCACTACACCAAACTGATAGTTGTTAGTGAAATAGTGATTAGAACCAAAACACATATTACCTTATTTTGTTGGTGCTTATTTTATAAAGAAAGATATAATTTGGGGGGTTGAAATTCTTATCTTTGTATACCGTTATTCCTCTGAGGAGCTCAGGATGGAACACAGAGTTCTCTGATCCTCGGTATTATCCTTACAACTATGCTGTGAGGTGACACAGTCTGAGACAAAGTAATAAATGTACTGATAATATCTTGATGTAAATGATACTTATATGTTCAGTGAAAGCAGATAATATTTTTGCTTATATTATAATATAATATATTCAATGTATTTTAACTTAACTGGATTCTAACATATAGTAACACAACTATGTGTTTGCTAGTGCATGCAAAGTGTATGCAAAGTATTTTGCTTATGAGAACTGATAGGTTAGTAATAGGCTCATTATCTGAAGGGCAGCCACATGATTCTGTCTAAGCAAAAGCAATTAAGAGCCTTTTGACTAACAAATATATTACGACATGAGGTTTCACAGGCAAGAGGCTTCTTATCTTTATTTGATGTACCTGGTGTGGTCAGCTTTTGCCTGAGAAGGCTCACGCCACAAGAAATGGCTTCGCCTCTAATTATATACCACAAGATTCTTTGATGTTAATGAGTGCACTTATTAAATTACATTTATTTTACTCCATGTCCCATTGGTTTAGATGGTTTTACAAGGTTTAAAACTTTAGTGATAACATAGGAGTTATAATTTAGAAGTTTGGAGTGCAATTTTACAACAGTTCATGTGGTGTGAGCCAGGAACTTCATCATACCTACCTTGCATCTTGGGGCAGAGAGCTCCCTGGATTTGCCAGGCACTAGCCTGGGGCTGGGGGGAAACTGGCTGCCTCCACAGCTGATGTTCCCCTGATGTTGCCTCCCAGCTCTGGGATTCAGAGACTTAGTGCCTCTCAATGTGGTGGTTCCTCTCAGTCACCATGGCTAGTAGCCATTGATGGACTTTTCCTCCATGAATCTATCTAATCCCCTTTTAAAGTTGTTTATTCCTGTGGCCATCACCACATCCTCTGGCAGCAAATTCCACATTTTAATCACTTTCTGTGTAAAGTAGTATTTCCTTTTGTCCCTCCTGAACCTACTTCACTGGATGTCCTTGTATTCTAGTATTTCAGGAAAGGGAGAAAAATACACATTAGATACTGGAGCACAGATATTGTCCCTTTATGGTAGCCAGATTAAAAAGTGGAGCAGTGTTGACCAAAAGCAGTTTCCATTTCTCACCTTAACCTGTCTTTGAATCCTGTAATAGAAGCTTTCATTCCAAACAGGGTCCTTGCAATTGTCAATAGTTTTGGTCCGCTGTTTTTCACATGTAGCAGTTGGTAACCAGAGGGTCACATAACAGTCAGACTGGCTTACTGCGTAAAGAAGAACAGAATAAGTAGCATTGCCTTCTTGGAACTAGCAGTTGTTGTTTCCCCTTTAAACAACAGCTGGATCTGAAATAAGTAGCAGGTAATAAGGAATATCTCTAGGACATTGAGGTCATTAACATTCACCTGTTGATTTTTAAAGTACAGGATCAGGCCAAGTGAAGGAATTCTTTCTTTCATCCAGTTGGCACCCTTAAGTGTGGTTATAGATATAAATGGTACATGAATGTAAATTACTAAACAGAACTGAAGCAAAAATAGTGCTGAACGTTTGATCATTTTGCAATGTGCCTTCATTTGATTATTTTTCATACCCCCTTGAGAATGAGTACAAAACAAGACGGGGACCCGCGATACTCACGGGGGGGAGAAGAGCTCCGTCTCCTCCATCCCCCCCGCTCGATCCCCCCCTGAGGAGGCGGCGTCGGCATCGAGGCCGGTCTTCCCCCCGCCCGGCTCCAAGGCGGAGGCGGTGGCGGAGAGGCCGGTCCTTTCCCCCCTGTTTGCCGGGCGCGGCAGCGAGGCCGGTCCTCCCCCCGCCCACCCGGCTCTGAGGAGAAGGAGGCGGCGCGGCGGCGGCGAGGCCAGCTACAGAGCGTTCCCTGCGCATGCGCAGGGGACGCTCTGTCACTTTCAGGGGGATTTAAACATCCCCCCGAATTTTAAAACATATATAGGGGCCCAATTACAACCAATGTATATAAAACATAACAATATCAAGGGCTTAAAAAGTTGACCTTACGCGTTTCGGCCAAACAGGCCTTCCTCAGAGGTCATACATATGTGGCAAGATGGTTAATAATTATTAATTATAATTATTAATTATTAATTATTAATTAATTAATTATTAATTATAATTAATAATTATATTCACACAAGACGGGGACCCGCGATACTCGCGGGGGGGGAGAGAAGAGCTCCGTCTCCTCCACCACCCCCGCTCGTTGTCCCGAGGAGGCAGCAGCGGTGGCAAGGCTGGTCCTCCCCCCACCCGCCCGGCTCCGAGGGGGAGGCGGCGGCGGAGAGGCCGGTCCTCCCCCCCCCTTTAAACATCCCCCCGGAAATTTTTTCTACTTTTAGCATTTTTGTGCACACGTGGGGACTGGCCCACGTGTGCACAAACCTCCCCCTCCCCCCAAGTGCCCCCGGAACACTGATTTAGCGATCCGCACTCCGGGGGCAACTTGGCTATTAGATATATAGATACTGGCAAAGGCTATGTGTCCGTGAGAAAATGGAACATATCCCCATTGTCAAGCCAACCATGTCCAGGTTACCTTCTCATATTAAGTCATGCATAGTTCATTACCCAGTGTAGTATAGTGGTTAGAGTGTTGAATCAGGATCTAGGAGACCTGGGTTTAAATCCCATTCTTTCATGAGGCTGACTGGATGACCTTGAGTCAGTGGCTCTCTCTCTCTCTCTCAGCCTAACCTGACTCACAGAGGTTGTGGAAACCATCCATGCTGCATTACTTTCAGTGGGATGGACCTTAAGGCAGTCATGTAAAACTATGCATGACCAGTACTGGATCACAGCAAGATCATAGCAGTGCTAATGCAGTATGGCAAGACAGGTTCCTTTCCCCCTTCTTTTCAAAGTTAGAGAGAGGGGGATTGTTTATCCCCAGAAAAGTCATCTAACCTAATCTGCCAGGCTGTATAGCACATGACATCATGTTCACTTCATGATCCCTGACTGGCTAGGGTCATGAAGTAAAGAAGAAAGAAACCTTAACATTGGTGCTGAAACGGAAAGATACTAAGAATACAAAGATAAGGTAGTGGGTTTTCCTGTGGTATTTTCCCACCTCTCAGAAGCCCACTTACCATTAAAAAACTGAACATCTCAAAGATTGGGTGCAACACCAGTGATGGATGAAAGCCTCCATCTCAATTTGCAACAAGGAACGCTCCAACACCCACATATTAAGCTAACATCCTCTTCGCCTGTTGCAAGCAGGAAGCCAATTTTTCAATGATCAGTTTGATGGTTTGTTGACCTGCTTATGGATGTTCAACAGGCTGCTTCAGTATCTGACTATCTGTTGAAGGGAGCTTTCACTCTCAAAAACATATACCCTGAAACCTTGGTCTCGAAGGTGCTACTGGACTCAGATCTAGCTCTTTTACTGCAGGCCAACACATCCAGCCTCCTGAAACTAAGCTGCTTCACTGTATTCCTTCCTAATAGTGCAGTACAGTTTTTCCTGCAGCCCTGGCTGCCCTTTTCTCAGCCATGTCAACAGAAGGTTTTTTGAGTATTTTTTAAATTGGCAATTGCTATTGCAATCTCACATTTTAATCATCTATTGCTATGGTTCACAAAAGTCTCAGCTTTCACTTAGGAAAAAAGTAAGGCTACACCTACTGTTGTGGAATTATAAGGGGAAAGGTATAGGCAGCACATTTTTCCTTATGAGTTTGCAATGTTAGAGACGTTTTAAAAAATAAAAGCCGGGAATTCAGTGATCAAGGCAAAAGACTGTTACAACATTAGATCGCAATAGAGCAATAGCAATTTTTTTAAAAAAATCCAAAAGCCTTCTGGTGGCACAGAAGGCAAAAAAAAAAGAGCAAGGGAAATAGTGGCTTACTGCCTGGATTCATCCATGGATAGTTAGAAGAGTCCCAAATTGTATAAATCATGCATAAATAATTGCTATGCTTTTTGTTCCTCCATATAATTGTTAGTTAATGGCAGATCTGTTTGGATCAGTCATATGTTCAGTTTTGAAAAAGAGATATAAACCTGTTTGGCAGGCATTTATGGGCTTGATGGGCTCACACCTGATTGTCACCTTCAAACATGGTGAGTTTAACTGTCAGACAGGTGTGATGTGACACATTCCTAGCATCCCTATTTAGAACTGGCTTGATCTTTTGGTCTTCATAGGAAATGTACAACATGAAGGTGCTGAACTGGATCTAAATTAACTGGATCTCAAACCCTACCTATCATACTGGCTTAAACAGAGATTTGGATTTTTTTTACTCATTACAATTTCTAAGCTCAGGAAGATCCACTTTTTAGAAACTTTAATAATATGTTGTATCACACCATAACACTTAACTGATGTCAGTTAATTGCCTTATGATTCAGGTTGTCTCTACTCCTCACTCTGTAATTTCCCCTATAAAAATTTCCAAAACAATTCTCTCTGCCACAATGATGTCCTCTTCATAGTATCTGAAGAAGTGAGATCTGACTCATGAAAGCTCATGAAAAAATAAATGTTGTTTGCCTTTAAGGTGCCACTGGACTTCTGTTTTATTTTACTACAACAGACTAACACAGCTGCCCCTCTGCAATTGTTCTTTCTGACCATTCTTGGAGACTTCTTATAGAAAATCTCCACACGTTTTCTCAAGGTGGCTTCCTCCAAGCAGCAAGCCACTTGTGTGCAACAGCTCAGAATCCCCCCCCCCCTTCGTGTCATCAAAAATAAATTGTTGCTTTGGACATTTGTGCTGGCATTGAGTCATCCTTCTAACTCCCATGGCAACCACGACCATGAATCTTCTACCTTTGGATACAGTTGCTGCAGATAGCAATTTAAAGCAGTCTTTACATGGTGGCCACCTTATGTATACCAACTAGGGCTGCCAGCACAAGGCTGGCAATCAACAGGAGCTCAAGAGGTGGGGGGGCATCACCATCGATGTAATGATTTTGACAGTGATGTGCTGATGTAACTTCTGCACAAACAGAAATGATATCAACACATTCCTAGGGACACTGTAGCATTTGGGTAAAACTCTAGAGTGAACTTGGCAACCCGAATACCAACCCTTAAACTTATATCTTTATCAACAAAGTGTTAGGCTATTTTAACTTGTATGTTACTATGATGGACAGGGTAGGTTCCACCTCTCTCTAAGAGCAACCAATGAGATGGGGTGTTGGGTGAGAGAGTTTAAAAATAGTTAAGAATGTCAGGGGTTGGCAGCTGGGCAAGGGGGTGCACGTAGATGTTAAATAACATCAGGGAGAGGATTGCCCACTGAGGAACCCCATCTGTTAAGGAGTACCTAGTTAATACCTTCTCTCCCAGTGCCACCCTCTGTCCCCAACCAAGGAGAAATGAGGACAGCCATTTCAGGGCTACCCCACGGACTCCCACGTCAGCAAGGCAGTGGGTCAAAATGTCATTGTCAACCATGTCAAATGCTGCTATGAAATCAAGTAGCAACAGCAATGCCGACCCAGCTCGATCCAGCTGTCTCCAGAGATTGTCCATCAGGGCAACCAACACCATCTCCATCCTGTGGCTGAGGTGAAAGCAGATCCAATGCCAATTTGTCATCCAGAAAACTCTGGAACTGCTTGGCTACCACTCTCTCAATTACCTTACCCAGAAACAAGAAATTCAAAATTGGGCAGTAATTGGAAAGATCAGTGGGATCCAAAGATTTTTTTTCAAGAACAGCACCACCATAGTCTCTTTTAGACCCTCTGGATAGACCCCTGTTTACAGGGACAGGTTGATAATGTCCATCAGTATGCCCTGTATCTTCTCATTACCAGTTTTCATCAGCCATGAGGGACATGGATCTAAGAGGCATGTGGTTAGCCTAACAGCTCCCAGGATTTTGTCAGCATCAGCATGAGAGAGTCAGCTGAAAGTCTCAAAAACCAAATCCAAGGGCAGCCAAGGGGCCTCCAGTTCACTCAAGTGTATCAACAATGGCAGGCAGGTCATGACGAAGTAACAGGACTTTATCCACCAAAAAAGCTTGCAAATGCCTCACAGCTAATAGCCAAATAACTAATTTTTTTCATTCTTCCCTATGAGGGATGTCAGAAACCTAATTACTCTAAACAATTGTGTTGTGTGAGAACTAGTGGATTCAATGGAGGCTGAGAAAAATTTCCTCTTTGCAGCCTTCACTGCCACCTCATAGGATTGAATAAATGTCCTACAAGATGCTCTTGCAGCTTCATCATGAGTATGCCACCAAACTTGCTCAAGTCATCTGAGCTC